AAAAAAAAAAGAGGTATTTATGTTGGAAGTTATAAAATCAACTTGAGGGCTGGGATTTGGCTCAGTGGTAGAGTGCTTGCCTAGCATGTGTGAGGCACTGGGTTTGATTCTCAGCATCACATAAAAAAATAAATAAAGATATGTTTCCATTTACAGCTAAAAATATTTTTTAAAAACCTACTTGAATGTATCTATTAAGTCTATTATAGAAATAATATATGAATTTATTGCTTAGGAGACATTTGGAAATCATATAAACCTCAAGGAAAATATAATATGGACTATAAACCAAATGTTATCACCCTTCCAAATATCATCATTAAAATTATTTTAAAAATTATAATCAGTAGATTATCATATATCACATAATACTATGACTAAGTAAATCTATACCGAAATGGATATTGTAAGCAGGGCTAACATAGGTTTTATTGAATTTTTAAATCTTTGTATTAAAATCTCATATGGAGTACTGGGTATATAGCTCAGTTGGGAGAGTATTTGCCTTGCATGCCTAAGGCCCTGGGTTCCATCCCCAACACCACACACACACACACACACACACACACACACACACACAAGAATCCATATGTTTTGAACATACTTTATACAAAGATATGAAAAATTGTTCTCTATATGTGTAATAAGAATTATATGGAAGCGAACAAATAAGCAGATACAAATTAAACAGAAGTGTCTGGGTTCAGTAGCATATACCTTAATCCCAAGCTACTTGGGAGGCTGAGAGGCAGGAACTTGGGTAATTTGGAGAGACCCTGTCTCAAAAAAGGGCTGGAGAAATAGCTCAGTGGTATAAAAATATAGGGACTTGGGTACAATCCCCAGTACCATCACACTCTCTCTGTCACACACACACACACTCTCAAATAAATAATCATCATCATCATCATCAATAATTAAAGAGAATTAAAATTAAGATTCTAAAACACTATTTTTGATTCTCCCTTATCTCCAAACACACAACAACCATGGAACACCACCACCAACAAAATCAAATCAATAAAAACCCCACATGTATTTCTAGAAAAACCTAAACATTTTTATATAACACAAAAGTATTCCCTTCAAGAAAAAGCCAAGACCAGAGGAGAAAGACGCGCCAGGCGCCCAGCCAAACCAGAGGAGGAAGACGCCAGGCGCCCAGCCAGACAGGAGGAGGAAGTCCGGCCCCGCCCCGAGTGCTAGTCCAGAGGAAGCCCATCAACACTTAAAACCCATCAAAGGGGTTTAAACTGGCTACCAGCACAGTTCTGCGGCTGATCCAGGTACCCTGTTTCCAACTCCCCCACCCTTAGCTGTGATAACTCAAAATATTTCCCACAAGCTTTTGGGGGTTGTAGCTATCAACGCAAAACAACAACTGTACAGGCACCTGGTTTCTACCTCAGAGACCAGAGTAGGGAAGATACAGGTGGAAGCTCATTTCCTTTCACACTGGCTATACCCACCACCCTGAATACAGAGGCTCAAGCTAGGAATAGACAACGCCACCTACTGGAAGCAAGGAAAACAGTGTTCTAAG